GAAGCCTTTGTAGGTAGGAGATCCAGTTCTGGCGAAGCCCGCCCAAAAAACTGATCCGTCCACTGTTTGTGTAGGTTAAGCTTTGAGACTGTCATGAAATCTCGAACTACACTTCCAGCCATCCCAGCTCGACTGTCAGCCAAGTTCTGCCACAATCACATGAACCGGCTCCAATAGGTCCCCTCACCCCGGCTCGAGTGGACTGCACTTTCGACCTCGCCCGAACTCGCAGCGAGGTCGGGACTCGAACCCGAGTCCTTCTCGACACGCTGACCGCTACGCCACATTGCCACGAGCGCCCTTGGGCCACGGGGCAGATGTGAATGTCAAGTAGGCCTGTCCCATATTGCATTTCTATGGTGGGATAGTGTCGACACGGCAAAATTGTATTTGCTATTACAATCGACTACATTACTTATTTTCCTTTTATAAGTAGATCTAACACTCCTTTATCACTCTGGATGAAATTGCTTGAATACTCCGCTTGGATGAGGTCTAGTGGTAGTCTGGCAAGCGTAACTATGAACGGATAACAGGGATGCTTCCTACCGGATGGGGCGGAGGAGCGAGATGACATCCTGCATCGTCATGGTTCGAGTCCCGCTGGGGGTGCAGATGAGACGGCGGTCCACTTCAGCCGAGATGAGAACACCTTTTGGCAAAGCGAGGCTATACGTGAAATGCATAGGATTGTGGGAAAATCCAACTACCGGTCCTTCATTGTCTTGAACGAAATTGTTTGAACGCATCTCATACAGCCTACTCACTTACGGAAAAAGTAATATCGTCGATTGCTATAGCAAATATAGGTTCGCTTCCTCGACACTTTCACAACACACAATGTGATATGGAAAATAATGAGATGTATTCACCCTATTTCGTCTAAGGTGATGAAGGACTGGTAGTAGAATTTTCCCACAATGATCGAGATGTATTCACCCTATTTCGTCTAAGGTGATGAAAGACTGGTAGTAGAATTTTCCCACAATGATATGAAATGTATTCACCCTATTTCGTCTAAGGTGATAAAGGACTGGTAGTAGAATTTTCCCACAATGATATGAGTTGAGCTGACTTTTCCATTGAATAAAGGTGATGAAGGACTGGTAGTAGAATTTTCCCACAATGATATGAGTAGAGCTGACGTTTCCATTGAATTAGTTGATGAAGGACTGGTAGTAGAATTGTCCCACAATGATATGAGTTGAGCTGACGTTTCCATTGAATTTTACAGGGTGGACTGCAGTTTCGACCTAGCATCGGTCTTATTAATAGTCTCGCTTTCCCAAAAGTTATTCTCATCCTGGGTGGACTGTAGTTTCGAACTCGCATCGGTCTTACTGATTTACTGGTAGTCTCGAAATCTTACTCATTTACGAATATAAGTAACGTTGTCGATTACTATAGCAAACATACGTTTGCTTCATCGACAATCCCACCAAAA